TTCTCAAAAAATTAGAAATTGAGCTCCCATTTGACCCAGCCATACCACTCCTGGGAATATATCCTGGAGAGGCAAAAAAGTACAGTCGAAATGACATCTGCACTTCTATGTTCATTGCTGCACTGTTCACAATAGCCAAAATCTGGGAAAAAAACCCGAGTGCCTGAGAACAGATGACTGGTTAAAGAAACTTTGGTACATCTACACAATGGAGTACTATGTAGCTGTTAGAAAAGATGAAATCATGAAATTTACATACAAGTGGTACTACATGGAAAATATCATGCTAAGTGAAATGAGTCAGAAAGAGAGGGACAGACATAGAAAGATTGCATTCATCTGGGGAATATAAAGTAACAAAACAGGAAATAACACCCAAGAATAGCCAAGATAAGTACCAGGAGTTTCACTCCATGGCTTGGAGGTCAGCTGCACATGCTAGGGGAAAAGGCAGCTCAGATAAGAGAAAGGAGCACCAAGTAAAGGGTGCTGGGAGGATCCTCCCAGCATGGAAGATACATGTTGAAAGTAGACTATAGACCGAACATAATTGCCACTCAATGCCTCTTTTGCAAACCACAGCACCCAAAAGGAGAAAGAGAACAAATGGAATGTCCTGCCACAGAGGCGAGATGGGATGGGGGGATAGGGGGTGGGAGGAATACTGGGATCACTGGTGGTGGAGAATGGGCACTGGTGGAAGGATGGGTACTCGATCTTGTGTAATTGAAACCCACGCACAAAAATCTGTAAGTCTACAACTGACCGTGAGTGTGGAAAGGTCGGACTACAGCTAAATCTTATGAAGATAATGTTTATGAGAAACAGTCTCGCTCCTGATGCTCCATTTGCTCTCAACAGAACGACCATCTCCGAATACAACAGTTATGTGTACCTAGGTCAAGAAGTCAACATGACAAATGACCCGGCACCTGAGTTGCACAGGAGGAAGAGAGCAGCTTGGAACACCTTCAAGAGCATGGAAGAAATAGCTAAGAGGATGAAGAACCTCCAGCTCCGGGCACATCTCTTTGATTCCACTGTTCTTCCTGCATTAACATATGCCTCAGAGATATGGGCCCTACACAAACAGGATGAGAACACTATTCAGGTCTCCCAAAGAGGAATCGAAAGAGCTATGCTTAGAGTATCACGCTTCACTCAAATGAGAGAAAGAATCCGGAATTCCGACCTCTGTTGACGATCAAGAATCAGGGACGCTGTCTCGTTTGCCAAGGCATCAAAAATCAGATGGGCTGGACACGTAATGAGATTTGGAGACAACCACTGGACTAGAGCCGTTAACGACTGGATTCCACGGGACGTCAAAAGACCACATGGCTGCCCACCTACCAGATGGTCAGACTTCTTCATCAAGATCCTGAATGATCGGTTTGAGGCTCTTCATATTCCTAGAATGAACAGACGCCATTGGGCTACACTAGCACGTGACAGGGACAAATGGAGATGTTACTGGCACCTGCTAGAGCAAATTGACGATTAACGGGAAGTCAAGTGATCAAGTGACCTCATGGTGTTTCACTATAAATTTTTTTTTTAAATTCTAGGGCCTGGATATAAAGTAAGAAAATATGAGATTAATACCCAAGAATAGCTGAGATCAGCACCAGGAGGATTACTCCATACCTTAGTGGCCAGTCGGGCATTCTAGAGGAAAGGGCAGCTCAGATAGAGAAGGGAACACCAAATAAAGGGTGTTTGGAGGATCCTCCCAGGAGGGGAGATGTATGTCGAAAGTGGACTATGGACTGAACATGTTTGCCACTCAATGCCTCTTTTGCAGACCACAACACCCAAAAGGAGAGAGAGAACACAGGGGATTGCCATGCCACAGAGGCAGGGGTGGATGGGGGGGATGGGGGTGGGGGGGATATTATCCATGGTGGTGGAAAATGGGCACTGGTGGAGGGATGGGTATCTGATCATTGTATAATCAAACCCAAGCACAAAAAATTGTAAATCTACAACTGTACCTCATGGTGTTTCACTAATAAAAAAAAAAATTTTTTTTTAAATTCTAGGACCTGAGAGATCATATCAACCAGACACAGTAACAACAAAGTCTCCAATGGAGACGTTACTGGGCCCGCTCGAGCAAATCGACGATCAACGGGAGGGCCTTTACCTTTACCTTTACCTTTACCTGAGAGATAGAACAGCGGGTAAAGTGCCTACCTTGCATGAGGGGATCCAAGTTCAATCTTTGTCACCTCAAATGGTCCCATCAGCTCATCAGGAGTGATCCCTGTGTACAGAGCCAGAAGTAAGCACTGAGCACTTCTAGGTCACGATCACAATCACCATCATCCTGTTGTTCGTCGATTGCCTCGAGCAGGCACCCGTCATTGTTACTGGTATTTGGCATATTGGGCACACCACGGGGAGTTTGCCAGACTCTGCCGTGTGGGCAGGTTACATTTGGTAGCCTGCCAGGTTGTCCAAAGTAAGAGTGAGATAATAAGATGTTGCAAGGCTGCAAATGTGGCTGCGCGCTTCCAGGAGCTGGGTTTTATAGTCTCTGAGTCTTGGCCGTTGATGGGATTACGCAGCGCTGGGGGGAGGGGTGCAGTTAGTGGGTGTGACCCCTGCCTACTGGAAGATGGAGGATCTGGGTGGAGGATGCTCAGCCCTGATCCAAGTAGGCTTGGAGATCTCAGCCCCAAGACCCGCATGCCTTTGTTACTCTGCCAGCACCTTCATGCATGTGGAGAGTGGTCTCAACATGGTTGTGGCTGGTTCTGGAGGTCTTCGGCTGCCGGGGCTCTGCTCAGGGCGGGGAGGGAAACTCAACCATCCCCTTCCAAGGGGCCCCTGCGAGGACAGCCAGGTACGGGCGGGGGGGGGCAGGAGATTCTCCACTCTCCACACATATGAAGGTACTGGCAGAGGAACAGAGGCATGTGGGTCCCGGGGCTGAGATCTCCATGCCTGCTCGGATCGGGGCTGAGCATCCTCCACCCAGATTCTCCATCTTCCAGTAGGCAGGGGTCACACCCACCAACTGCCCCGGCACCATGTAATCCCATCAATGGCCAAGACCCAGAGACTATAAAACCCAGATCCCCGAAGAGAACAGTGCAGGGTCTCCTGCCCCCGCACCTGGCTGTTCTCGCAGGGACCCCTTGGAAGGGGGTGGGTTGAGTTTCCCTCCCCACCCCGAGCAGAGCCCCGGCAGCCAAAGACCTTCAGAACCAGCCACAACCATGTTAAGACCCAGCACTTCTAGGTGTGGCCCAAAACAGAACAAAAATTCTATAGGAGGCAGAAGAGTTTCAAAGCATACCTTCTGGGTGGATATAGTTCACTAGCTTGCCATGGTCCATTTTAGAACCTAGATTCTTAAATTGGGTATCACAACTCCATATGGGGGAATCATGAAATCATGTCTCAAAATAAATTTACAATGTATTATCAATAAATCTTTTCTTTGTGTAGCTATCTTATATACCTGGGATCAATTAAAAATTTCTCAGGCAATGGGGGTACAAGTGAAGGGACTTTAAGAAGCCCTGTTTTGGAGTATTTATAAAAGTCTGTGAGGGCCAGATACTGTACAGCAGGTTAAGGTTTTTGCCCTGTGCGCAGTCCACCTGGGGTGGCTCTGAGGCACCCCAGATGGTCTCCTGAGCCTGTCAGAAGTGATCTCTGTGCAGAGTCAGGAATAATCTCTAAACATCGACAGGTGTGGCCCCCTTCCCAAAACAAACAAACAAAAAGGCTACGATGTTCAGAAAATACTATTCTCAGTCAAAGTATAAAACGTTCAATGAACACTTTACAAAGAAAACTGAAACAGGACTAGCTTGAGGGCAGAGGTAATATGAAGTGCAAGACTGACCAGGGGTGCTACTTGATTGCCAGGCAGAACTAGTTCATCGGCTCTATACTGCCACAGGCCAGTGTGACCCACACTCGCCTGTGACTTAGCTGACACAAACTACAGCGACTGTGCCTAGTGTTTCAAGAGAAGTTGCAACCCCAAGGGTGCGGGAAAAGAAGAAATCTTTGCAAAGATTTTTTTCCCCCCAAATGTATCTTTTTTCCCAAATGTATCAGTGAATGTGGCTTGTATACTTTTCCAATAGCGCAGCAGGTAGGGAGTTTACCTTGCACGCAGTGGACCAGCCAACCCAGGTTCAATTCCTCTGCCCCTCTCGGAGAACCCAGCAAGCTACCCACAGTATCTCGCCCACATGGCAAAGGCTGGCAAGCTCCCCTTGAAGTATTCAATATGCCAAATACAGTAACAAGCATCACAATGGAGCCGTTACTGGGCCCACTCGAGCAAACCGGTGAACAACGGGAGGACAATGACAGTGACCCACAAACCCAGACTGGGCTAAAAACTTCCTTCAAGGTGGAACACGGGTGGGAAAAGTTCAAGCAGCCCTGGTTGGGTAACAGCTGGGATGTCAAAGATCCATGGCTATTTCCTCAAGAAACTGTCAGGACAAAGGGATGGAGCAACAGAGTGCTCCAAAACAGTGCCCCTAACCCTGCAATATTGGGGAGCAGGGGTAGGGGGACTGAGGTGCAAACTATTAGAAGACCGAGTGGGTAGGTGTTAAGCAGGGAGAGCATAAGTTACGGCACCCAGCTGGGTCGCAAGACTTCAACCTCTATGGTCAAGCAACGTCCCTGGAACCAGCAACAAGCCTAGGCTGGAGGAAAACCAGGAAACTGAGAAAGGTAAAAGAAAACAAAAAGCATCTCCTTCCCCACTACTGAGTGCACCGCTTTAGAACTGCAGTTCCGCGCCTTTTCCCCATCTAAACACGTGCGCAAGGACCTCGCACAAGAGCCAGTCCGCCCGCCCCAGCCGCCCCCACGTGCGGCGCCAGCCACCTAGCGCAGGCGCCATGCACGACCTCTGTGGCTCCCGAGCGCGCAGGCGCAAGCACTTCCGGGTTTCCGCCGGGGCGCCCCTCTAGCCACCAGGCCTCCGGCCCTTCACTGCTCCCCGCCGGCGCCGGCGCCGGGGCCGGAAGTGAGAGCGGGCTGGGGGCGGGTCTTCCGGGAGCGGGCGCGTGGGACAGGAAGGTGACCGCTCGGTAAGGCTTGGGGTGGCTTTGGGGGTCTGGGCCGTGGCCATGAAGCGCCTGCGGGGCTCCCCAGCTTTTTTTTCTTTTCTTTCTTTTTTTTTAATTCATTTTGTGAGTAAGCAGTCGGGCGGGGACGCTGGAGGCCGGTGTCACCTGGCTGCGCTCAGAAACGTCCAAGGCCAGAGCTGAAAGGGGGTTTCTCTCGAGTGTGGCGCAAACACCCTCGCACAGAAAAAGAAAAGTGACGGCTTGCCAGTCTTAAGTATTTATGGTCTGCAGAACCTTTCACTTTGATGTGTTAAAAAAAAAGAAGTATACGCTGAGCATCCTCCCAGACGCGTGTGCGTCGGTGCCCGGGGCCGAGCGGGCAACTGGTGACCCTCGTGCTCCGCTGGCCGCTGTCTGCAGGTGATTCCCACGTTGGCCAGGGACAGGAATTCGGGTTCGAAGAGGCTCATTCCCTCTCTCCACGATAGAAAGTTTTTGAAGACTTAAATTTTTGGCATAGACCCCAGTGGCTGCTGGGGACACCGTATTGGGCAGTCGTAGGACAATCGCAGTACTTGGCGGCATTGCCAAGTGGACAGAGGGAACTTGGCATTCTAGGATTGTTTCAGTGCCCTTTGGCCTCGGGGGTGGAGGGGGAGCCCTTGCCACCGTCAAGTCGCCAAGCTCCCGTCCCCTCCGCTGGGTTTCTCTGTCTGCGAGGTTGTGCCGGAGAGAACAGGTGTGACCGTACACGTGTGTTACAGGTACATGGGAGCGCCTGTTTTGCCCAATTCATTGGGGACTAGTACAGAACACATTGGGACCCCAGCTTAAAAGCAAGTGGAGACTTCCTCTTCACATATTCTGAGTGCCACCGTCTTTATTTCACCCAAGACACCTGTGCCCTAGCTTTATTTTCCAGAGAGGAAGCTTCAATTTAGAGCAGCTGTCCAGAATTACTCAGTGGCAGGGCCAGTGTTCAGGACATTCAGGATGCTTCTATCTAGGAATAAAGTGATTTAACTCTTGGGGTGGGGAGATGGCTCAGAGAACTGGGTGGGACGCAAACTTAGAAGTGGGTTCCTCAAGTTCAGTCCTCACGTGGTGTGAACCCCTGAGCACTGCCAGGTTATGTGTTGGAATTCAGAACCTATTTTCCTGCAAACATTACAACAAAATGATAGTTTCTAGACCACCTCCTAAGTGGAGATACTGTGTATTACAACAGAAATTCGGTGGTAGGGTGTTGTTAGGGCCACACACGATGGTGCTCAGGGCCTACTCCTCGCTTTGTTGGTCGATCACTCCTAGTGGGACTCTGGCAGCCATATGGGATGCTGGGGATTAAACCCAGGTCAGCCATAACTGCTGGGCTATCTCTCAAGACAGGTTTTCACTTTTTATTTATTTATTTATTTATGGCTTTTTGGGTCACACCCGGCGATGTTCAGGGGTTATTCCTGGCAGTGCTCGAGAGACTATATGGGATTCTGGAAATTGAACCCAGGTCAGCCATGTGCAAGGCAAACGCCCTACCTGCTATGCTATCGCTCCAGCCCCAGGTTTTCACTTTTTAATATGTAGAATAAACTTTTACTTTTCGGGGGGGAAGGGTTGAGCATTTGTGGCCACACTAGTGGAGCTTATGGGCTATTCCTGGCTCCGCTTGGGGGACCATATATGGTGCCGGGGATCAGACTGCGCTTAACCACATGCAAAGCAAACATCTTAACCCTGCTGCTATCTCTGAATAAGATACCTCTCTGTTTTTCGACCACACTTGGCAATGCTTAAGGGATACTTCTGGCTCTGCACTAAGAAATTACTCCAGACACTGCTGGGGTGGGGGGGGGTCATATGGGATGCCAGGGATCTCATTCAGTCAGCCACGTTCAAGGCAATTGCCCTGTCCTCTGTACTATCTGTCTAGTTCCCCCCCCCCCCAAAAAAAAAGGGGATCTTTAAAGGTGGGAAGAAGAGAAAAGAAAAGCTTGCTTAGAAACGTCGTAGTTTCTGAAGTCAACTTTTAGATATTTGCGGGGGTTCCTTTTGTTTGTTTGGGGGCCACACACCCAGTGGTCTTAGGGTTTAATCCTGGTTCAGTGCTCAGGGACCATTCCTGATGGGGCCCAGGGAACCATACATGCAAAGCAAGCAACTGTTCTACTGCTCCAGCCCTACAAGGATTTTAGACAGAGGTTTGTAGCACTGATTTGTTGCTCACTTCTAAGTACACTTCAGATTGTTTGTGACCTTTATGGATGAAAAGGTAACCCTAACCAAAATCTATATAGAAACCCCTCCCAGTTTCTCACCACAGAAAAGAAACCCTAACAATAAAGAAATGAACGTGGGGGCTGGAGCAATAGCTCAGCGGGTAGAGCGTTTGCCTTGCACGCGGCCAACCCGGGTTTGATTCCCAGCATCCCATATGGTCCCCCGAGCACGGCCAGGGGTAACCCCTGTGCATCTCCGGGTGTGACCTAAAAAAGCAAAAAAGAAGAAGAAGAAGAAATGAACGTAATCCATACAACATAATGGAGAGCAGTGAGCCTGGGAACTGAGGGCTGAGAGGAAAAAGAACGTTTCTGGAACTGCGAAACGTGTCCCACATCCCCAGGGATAGGGCTGAGGGCTGAGACTTGGGTCCCACTGTTCTCCTGAGGGTGGCCGTCAGGTGGCGCTGTAGGGTCAGTCTTCCTGCCCAGAGGTTTGGGGTTGACAGTTTTCAGCTGATGGCGAGTTAGCGTCTCTGCTCTCACTGGAACTTGAAGCAAGCCTGAAGAGTTCCTGAGACACTCCGTTTGTATCCTGGTTGTGTTTTTCTTGCAAGAGCTAGTTTGAAATTTCCTTGACCTTCTTCATATTTATGAGGTTTTTGTACGATTTTTTTTTTGGTAGCAGTTCTTTGTGTCCAACAGAAACCGTGCCATCCATTGAACACTATCCTGGCTGTGCATTGTGGGGCTTCTCCTCTTACTGAGAGAAAACGACACGAGCCCAGGAGGAAGAGGGCACGTGAATTGCTGGGACTCGCTGCCAAGCCTCCCTTAGCTCTGGAACCAGCAGGTCAGGGTTGCTCCAGGATCCCACGGACCCCACATGGCGTCCAGGACACAGAGGGTTTGGGATGTGTTTTTCATTTCTTTTTCAAGTCTGTTTGCAGATCAGAGCCTCCTCAATACCAGCTGAACTGTCCCCCAGAGACATCTGTTACCACAGAGTCTCAGGGCTACAAAAAATGGTACCTCAGTGTCTTTCGCCAAAACACCATCTAGTCTAGAATGGATCGGATGGTTACTCCAGCGGCATTCTTAATTTTCACGTGTCATGTAACTTTTATACATAAGCTGCAGTGTCTGCATATTGCAAATATTGATGTCGCCAACCTGCCTCAGGATAGGGGTGTGTGTGGGGGGGCAGTTACTCCTCAGCTAATAAGAGCTTCAACTCGTTTGCATGATAGCAGAAGACAAAAACGGAAGATAAGACCAGTAAAAATCACAACTCTTAAGTGCCTTTCAGGAAAATGAATCTTGTGCTGTTGGGAGTTTATTTCTTTAAGACTCCGCTGTTTGTTTTTTCCCAAATGGCGCTCACTAGTCTCTCGGCAGAATTCTCTCCAGCAGCCTAGAGGCTAAATGACCTCATAACTCATTAGCAGTTCTCAGAACCATCTGGAGCCTTTGAGGAGAACAGCGTTCAAAGGACTGATAATAAAGACAACAGCTTAATTATTTCTCTGCCGTGATTAAGCCTTTAGATGGCAAGCCGTCAGCATATTTATTTTGCAGATCGCTTAGGTGGGGGTTTTCTAAAGGTATGATGATGGCGCTGCGGTGGGGTAACTCGCCTCTCCCTCCACGCAGGTAAAAACCGACCGTAAATAATCTATTGTATCACCAATAGTTCGCGGGGCTCACGGGAGCGAAGGAGTGGGAAGGCCGAGGGGAAAGGGTGCGAAGCCAGTAAGGGCCCGTGGGACCGTGGCTGGTCGTGTCAGCTCCCAGACTTGCGCGAGTGGCTCGCCCTGGGTGTTTCGGGTGTTGTTTTTCATTTTCCAGAGGCGTCCTTCCCGCGCCTTGGAGTTGCTTCCACTCACCTGTTTGGCTTCTTCTCTCCCTAGCGGCACCTGCTCCCTGCTGCCCCAGAAATGTCTTCGCTGTCCGAATACGCCTTGCGCATGAGCCGGCTGAGTGCCCGGCTGTTCGGTGAGGTCGCCAGGCCCACGGACACCAAGTCCATGAAGGTAGTGAAGCTGTTCAGTGAGCAGCCCTTGGCCAAGAGGAAGGAGACTTACGACTGGTACCCCAATCACAACACGTACTTTGCCCTCATGGGCACACTGCGCTTTTTGGGCCTCTACAGGTAATAACCCCAACGAAACAAACCTAGGAATTCCGCTGAAAAGTTGTAGTATGCAGAAATTGTTTTGTTTCTTTTGTTTTAAGAAGAGATAAAGGATTGGTCATTTTGTTTTTGTGATCGATAGTAGTGGTCAGATCTTCCCAACGATGCCATTTGGGGAAGTGGGGTTCCAGGGAGGAAGACTGCTTTCAAGGAGGAAGTTTCTAGAATGGGCACATGGGGACCAAAGGAAGGAGTGGGGAACACACCGATTGCCCATGTGAAGACGTAGTTTGGGTCCCTGGGAAGTGTGGCTGCTGAGTTGTCTGTCAGCGTGAGAGAGAGCACCCCAAAAGCAGGCAGCAGGGAACAGAGCAGACAAGCCTGCTGGTGGAAGTTGTCAGAGTTCCCCCTTTCTCCTCTGCTCCTCTGGCATCTGTCAGTTCATGCCCTTTTTGTTTCCACGCTGCAGGAGGTAGAACAGCGATGTAGGTAGGGCACTCGCCTTGCACGAAGCTGACCCAAGTTCCATCCCCGGCACCCCATGTGGTCCCCTGAGCCCCGTGGGTGTGGCCCCAGAGAAGACCACAATCCAACTCACATCTCAGAAGACACACCGTGCTGGCTGCTCAGTTGAGAAGACGTTTGGCTGGAGAGATAGGGCGGGGCAGTTGGTCACTGGCTTTGTGCACAGCTGACTCTGGTTCCATCCCTGGCACCGCATTAGGGTCCCCTGGTCACCACAAACATTGGCCGTCAGCTGGCCCCGAAGGCGTCCTTATCCACCATGTGTGTGCAGTGAAGCCCCAGACCTCGCAGCCTCAGGAGTTGGTCTCGGGCCCAGCACAGCAGAGACCTCCAGGTCCAAGGACTGTGCTGCTGCCCACATTGAAGACCCTGAGAGCCTCAGGTCCCCCCAACCCCACCCCCCAGCTCTGCGTCACTGGGCCCCAACTCTGAACACTGAGGTCTGTGTTCACTGGGTGAGGCAGAGTATCACCAAGAGTAATACTATGTGGGTCTCTCAAGCACTGTCGGGGCATAAAAGGAAACTGGGCCCAGGAACCCCTTCGGGCTTAACGCAGACTTCACGGTTGCCGCACTTCGCAGTATGGACGTGGAGCGGCAGCTGGAGCCCGGACTGCCGGGTCGCGGCTTCCATCCTGGCATCTGTTGAGGGGCCGCCCAGAGCCTTGATGCCTTGCCCCTGCCCACCGCCGACCCTCCCTCTTGTGGTAGATGCTTAGCCCTGGGGCTCTTGGCTTCTCTGGGTCCCCACTTTCTGCTGCAGGGATATTTGGGGTACTCAGTAGTGCCGAGCCCTGGTTACTTAGATTCACACAGCAGATCTGGGGGTGAGGGATCGAACCCTGGGCCTCCCGAATGCAAACCATGCACTCCTTCCCAGTGAGCTGCATCCTCCAGCTACTGTGTGTTGGGGCCCCCTTGTCCCGCTCACCCACCTGGCCAAGGGGCCCCGAGGAAGTCAAGGGCTGGTCATCAGAGCAGGTGAGGGGGCAGCGTGAGACGGGTGAACCTTAATTCTCGCTCCTTCCCTCCCCTTTTCAGAGACGAGCACCAGGACTTTAACGATGAGCAGCTGCGCCTAAAGAAGCTTCGTGGAAAGGGGAAACCAAAGAAAGGAGAAGGGAAAAGAGCCACCAAAAAGAAGTAGAGCTGGAACCGTTGCAAGAGAAGAGCTCGTCGTTGGCATCTGAGGGAAGGCAGCGCCTTCCCGGTCTCTCCCGGATCGGAGGCCCTGTCACCTCCTTGTTGGTGGCCAGTCTGGCCGAACTGTGACTGGTTTCTTGGATGCATCGAATCCCACAGGATTATTGGGGTCTCTGTTTTGTCATTAGAAGTTGTTCTCGGTGTCTAAAAAACAGCGCGTCAATCACTGTTGAATGATTTCTTGGGGACAAGGCAGGATGTCGGGGGCGGAAGGAGGGGACACTCGTTAAATGAGCTTCCCGGAGTCCCCTCGAACTCCGTTCTTGCCTCCCATTCCCCAGCCCCAGACGCTTTCATCTCACTCGCCAACCACTGTCTCCACCACCAAGCTCACAAACTTTTAAGTGCCTCTCCACCTACTCCTCCGACAGGTACTAATCAGATCTGTAGGATGAAAGGCTGGGCCTGGTGACAGGGACCTGCCGTGTGATGGGCCCTGGCCCTGGTGATAGCTGTGGTTAGCAAGAGCAACATTCCTTATGGGCACTCCTGTCTGGGCGGGGAGATAGATGACTGTTGTACAACTGCATTAAACGCTACAAAGGAAAACAATATATCTGGACTTCGTGAGTGTAGCTAGACCATAGTGTAGACCAGCAAGACAGCAAGCAACCCGATTCCAGAGGGCGTCAGGCTTGTCGGATGATGCTGAAGCCCAGTCTCAAAGAATGAGTTTGGGCAGAAGCCGAGGCTATATGGAGACACCAAGATGCCATTTGCAAAGCCCTGGGGTCAGAAGAAGTGGTCTAGTCCCCGAAAGTGGAAAGAGACCACTCAGCCGTCGGCTGGTCTGAGGGAGGCTCTGCGGGGCCCGTGCAGCCTGACTGGAGCAGAGTTGTGGGTGCCAGGATGCCCTCTGAGCCCTGGCAGTGAGGTTGGAAGAATGTCCTAGATCTGGTATCTCTGTAGGCCCCCCCCCCACTTTTTTTTTGCAGTATTATCTTTGTGGGTAATAAAACGCTCCCAAAAGTAATAGCGCCACCAAAACCCTCAGCCCAGGAGGATAAATTCCACACATGTTGTATTGAAGCACTTTTAACCATTTCTGCTACTCTTGGGGAGAAAAAATAGTGCAGAGCCAAGAGAGCGTGAGTAGGGACTAGAGAGGGCACAAGGGTTAGGCCCACCCTAGTTCCATTCCCAGCCCACATATGGTTCCCTGAGCACAGAGCCTGGTGTAGCCCCTAAGTATCCTGAGGTGTAACCCGGAGGGAAAGCAAGTATGGTAACTGCTCTAGCCACATCTTTCCTCCCGCACCATTCCAAGTGTTGGCAGGGAGAGGGAGAAGACAGCTGGTAAAGCACTTCCCTAGACCCCGGTTCAATCCCTGCCCCTGCATTTGGTCCCCCAAGCACTACCAGGGGTTAATTCTGAGTCCTACCCAGTAGGGCCCCAAAATAAGAGGGAAAAAAAAAAAAACGTAGAAGTGTCCCTGTGAGTAGTTCCTGAACCAGCAGGAACCTCACTCCTATTGCACAGGGATCTTCCAAAGCTCTGTGATAAAGATGGCATGGCTCAAGCCTGTGAGGGTCAATAAAAGGAGAACTTCATGGAATGAGACGATGGGGTTCCAGTCAATGCTTGTGGGCTACCACGGTCACTCAATGACTGCACCCACCAGCCCGCTGTCAAGGACAGCCTCGCACCCTGAACCTCACAGCTGACCTCTCATCCTAACCTAACCAGAATAAGGCACCTCTGACTTCTTCGGGAGCGTTGTGAATGGAAGAGGAAATGGGATGGGAGAGACTCCCGTACCAACAGCCAGGCCTGGCAGAAATAAGCTTATGAGCCGTTCGGGTGGCTGAGAGGGCCCTGTTTTGCCTGTGGGAGCCCCAGAATCAATCCCAGACTTCATGGTCCCTTAAGCACTGCTGGGAGTACCGTTCCCCATCTCCCCCTCCTTTTTGCACACCCCCCCCAAAAAAAAGAATAGGGAAAAACTAGGCACGCTAGTGGGTGAGCTCCCAGACTCGGGCAGAAGGCGGCACGAGCCAGAGCTCTGGCTGGGGAAAGTTCATGATCATCCAGTCCAGGTGACTGTTCTGCACGGTCCACATCTGCCCCACTATCCTCTGTGGCCAGGTTTAGACTAACCAGGTGCCTGCATCAGCTCTCCGCTCAAGGCCCACTAGTTCTGCATTCTCCCCAGTGTTCAGGGTTTTGTGTGCTGAGAGGATTTTGCCCTTGATTTCAATATGATCGTAGGCTGGGTTGAGTTCGAAAGCCCTGGGCTGTCGTGCTCCCCTGACTGGCTGAAATCGCAACCTCTCCACCCCCTGTGAAATCTAGACCTAAAGCTTCCATCTGACACTCTCGGCCTGTTCAAAACATGCTGCTACATCACTGTGTTACTATGGAGATCTGTGCTGGGGAGGGCTGAGCTTTGTCTATGGAAGGTCCGGGTTTCATCCCCAGCACCATGGGGAACCCCGAGCACTATTAGATGTGGCCCCAAAACAAACTGCCCCCCCCACCAAAGAAAAACTTTTACTGTCTTACTAGATTCGCCCCCACTCCCCAAAGGAGTTACAAAACATCTCCTGAGACTGCATTTACCATTCAGCACGATAGGTTTAGGGAGTAGATAGGAAAAGAGTTTCACTTTGTTTTATTTGGGGGCATCCCTGGTGGTGCTCAGGACTTCTGGCTCTCTGCTCAGACTCACTCCAGGCAGTGCCCTGGGAATCATTTATAATGCAGGGATCGAATCCAGTTGCAAAGCAAGTGCCTTATCCACTATCTTATCTCTAGCCCTAAGAAGCATTTTAGTATTTATGTGATCAAAGTTTCCAGAAATTCATTTTTTAAGCATCAGGTTGACGTATGTTTACATGTAGGTGGGCACTTAGATAAACGAGCATATAAGCAATGCTTCTGCTTATAAAACACTTTCCATAAGAGAGTAAATAAAAGCTTTAACTTCCACACCCTTCACATTTTTTCTCTTAACTGCACACGTACCCTCAAAGTTTCTCAGTGATTTAGAGGCAGAAAAAAAAGCCTTCAAGAGCAATAGATTAAAAGAAAACAACTATGCCTTATCTTAAGTACTTTTCAAGTCCAACAGAAAACATTTCTTTTTTAAAAATTGAGATTGAATCAGCAGAATCAACCATAATGCATTCTAGAAGCCTTAGATAAAACAGGGAAACAAATAGCAAAAATCCCTGGATATTGAGATCACTAGAGAGTCAGTGAAATATTTATGCTGGATTTTAAATAGTGGAGGTTTTTTTAATGGTGTAAAGGCAGCAAGACAGAAGAGTCATAAGACTACCGTGAAGAAGGGTCAAAGAACCCAGAAGCTGTTTATAACTGACGTCTAAATTTCATATCAAAGATGACACTAAAGTTAAATCAATGTCAACTCCAAGGCCTTTTTCATTCTGCCTCATGAGCCATTTCCTGAGAGCACTGGGTCATTTATGGAAAGCTTTCTATATCTAGGAAACCTGAGCTTATTGACTATTGAAATTGATGTTCAGTACAGAATATCTTCTCAATAGAACTGCTGGGTCAGAGAGATAGCACCGGGGTAAAGTGCTTGCCTTGCACAGGGCTGACCCAGGCTTGGTTTCCAGGCCTGCAGGTGGTCCTCTGAGTGGACCAGGATCACCTCAGCATTGCCAGGTGTCAGCCCAGCCTACCCCACCCAAAATAAAACCCCACAAAAGTACTAGTTGTTAAGTGCATTTAGAATTAAAAACAGAATTCTAAACAAGTTGGAGGGGTCATAGGCTGAATTTAAAACTTTTTCTAATGTTTTTAAATTGAATCAGTGAGATACAGTTACAAAGTTGTTCATGATTGGGTTTCAGTCATATAATGTTCCAACACCCATCCCTTAACCAGTGTACATTTCCCAGCATCAATGTCCCCAGTTTCCCTCCTGTACCCCACACCCACCTCTGTGGCAGGCACTTCTCTCTCTCTCTCTCTCTCTCTCTATATATATATATATATATATACATATATATACATGTGTGTATGTGTGTAGGCACTTCTCTATATATATACACATATATATATACATGTGTGTATGTGTGTGTGTGTATATATATATATATATGGCATACTCGATATGCCAAAACAGTAACAATGATGGTCCTCATTCCCCTGACCCTGAAAGAGCCCCCAATATGCCATCAGGCTACACTAGCATGTGACAGGAATGAATAGAGACGTTACTGGCGCCTGCTTGAGCAAATCGATGGAACAACGGGGTGATAGTGATAGTAATAGCGATATATATATGCATATGTATATACATTTGTAGGGCTGACCTACAAATTCATCACCCAACAAGAGACGGACCAGAGATACAGTAAAGCAGATAAGGAGCAGATAAGGTGCTTGCCTGTCACGTGACTGACTTGAGTTTGATTCCTGGCCCTACATATGCCTCCCCGACCCCAACACCACTGGAGCAATCCCTGTGTAAGCCCTGCACGCTGTCACGTGCAGTCCGCCAATAAAACCATCGAGATCAAATAGGCAAAATCAGCCACAATGCATAAAACATAAAAACGAAGGAAGTATGGGTTGAATCATCAAGAATGAATGATTCTTGCTGATAAAGCAAATAATGTCAACCTGGGGGGGGGGGGGTTGCAATATGCACTATTGTGTTTTAAAACCCATGTACTATGTATTCCCAGTTTACTGATGAGAAACTGCGGCTCGGAGCCTGTGCGTCTGATCTCCCGGCTCTGAGTCCGGACTGGCCTGAAGACACAGCCCCACCAGGCACAGCTCCCACCGCAGGCTTTCCGCGTGCAGAGAGGGGCTCTAGCAAGTGGCTGGCAATTCCCCGCCAAGAATAAAAACTGTTCTGTGAGGGCACCAATGGATATGGCCCGGCGACCTCAAAACCAGAACTTAGGGGCTGAAGCCATAGCACAGCGGGTATGGCGTTTGCCTTCCATGCGGCCAACCCAGGTTGGATTCCCAGCATCCCATATGGTCCCCCCAAGGCAACGCCAGGAGTAATTTCTGAGTGCAGAGCCGGGACTAACCCCCGAGCATCGCCGGGTGTGACCAAAAAAAGAAGAAAGAAAGAAAGAAAGAAAGAAAGAAAGAAAGAAAGAAAGAAAGAAAGAGAAAAAGAAAGAGAAAAAGAAAATCAGAACCTGAATGAGCCAGTACGAGACCCCTGTCCCCAGGGTTCTTTGCAGGCTGAGACTCGGCACTAATACTGAGCATAAGGAGTACTCTGCCAGTAACTGCTGGGTACTGAGCTCAGTTTTATCTCCATCACTCCCCATTCACCTTAGAGCTGTGATTGGTTCTCAACTCTGGCCAAGGCAGGAGAATCAACAGAGGAAGAACTTTGAAGAGTCTGACCACGGTGGGGAGAGAAAAATAGCTTAGACAGAGGCATTTTTTTGTTTGTTTATTTCTAGTTTGTTTTTATTGCAGTACTCAGGACTTACTCCTGGCTCAATGCTCAAAGATCAAAGGACTGTATGTAGT